AAATGATGTAGATGGAAGTATTCTAAAATGCAAAATAAAATTGGGGTGGGGGACGTCATCAGAAGGTGTGGCCCTCCAGTAACGACCCCCTCCCCAAAAACCTACATGTGTGGCCGAGTGATGGAGCAGGCAGAGGGAGGATTTCGGGGATGGGGAGCAAAGGACTGGGGTGCCCGCTGCACTCCCAGGGAGCCAGCTCCCCCGCTGACTCCAATAGGCACCCCCGTTCCCCGAGAGCCCCCCCAGAGAAGGGGGCCCCACCAGTTTCATGTTTTCTGTTTTATGTAAGCATCAAACAACAACTTAGAAGGATCTCTACCTTTTTTTTTTTAACACAAGCATTTTTTTTTGTTTTGTATGAACTTTAAGTTCCTAAATTTACAGCAGCTTGAGAAACTAAAGTAAACGCTTAGCAGCTCTCAATCAACCTCTATAGCAGGAGTCTTCAACGTTTTCCAGGCCAAGGACCCCAAACTGATGGCGATGGAGCGGGGACCCCCAAATTATTATTAGTATGAAAATAGCGTTCTATCAAACTGGTCCTATAGTCACTCTATTACAGATGGAGTAATGTAACTAAAGTAATCCCTCCCTGGGATTATTAAAGCATTTCTTATTCCTCATTGATGGGACAGGTGTTGTGAATGAAACGGTGCCCAGCTTGAAAGAGCTCCTGTGTGTCGCTGAATGTTTGCATTGATGACTGAAAGACATCTTCTGCCTCCATTTATCTGTTTACTACAGTCTGTTGAATTCATGTTATTGTGGATTTAAAGACATTTCAATTAGTAGAAAAAATTGCTGCGGGAAAATATAAAAAACAGTTTAGTCAACCAAAACTTTCACGACCCCCATGCAGTACCTCTGTGGACCCCTAGGGGTCGCGGACCCCCTGTTGCAGAGCTCAGGTGTCTCTAAGGTGTGGCTGGTCTCTCAGCAGGTGGAAATGTTGCCTCTTTGGAAGGCAGTGATGCACATGTGGCTCCTGGCAGGTATATTAATGAAAAACAAGCTGCGGTGACTGAGCAGAGCTTTAAAAGAACGAGCTGGTAGAAGCTTACAATAATTATTTAAAATAATAAATTAGCTAAAAAGAGTCAAATGATGAGTCTGTTTAAAAAGGATGAACTCTATGAACAGCATCCCGGTCTGCTGCCGCTCAGCTGATGGAGAACAGCTGGGTGTCCGGGTGAGAGGTGACGTCACCTCAAAACTAAATCAGAAAAAAAGCAACACAGCAACCCAAGCTAAATCTTACAAGAAAAGTAAATAACTTCAAAATATAAAAAGCAAAACCTAATCAGGAAAATAAGACAAGAAATTAACTTCAAAGGGATAAAAAAGAGCAGCCACATTAAGCTGCAGTCTGACCACTGTAGTTAACCCTGTAGATTCAGCTGTCCTGCTCAACATCTCCTGAGCTGCAGATCAGGCTCCTGCCACAGATGAGTGGGACTCTGGAGAGGTAAGGTTAGTCTGAGGGGGGTTGGTTTGGGTTCCTGGGGGATGAAGGGGGGGTAGCATGGATCTGATTCAGCGGGCTTTGCAGGCCGCACCCCAGAGGTCAACATTTGTTATCAAATGATTTCTTTTTGTTGTAGATGTGTTTCTGTTTCTGGGATCATGAGCCTTTAGGACCCAGTTTGTTCCAAGCTGCAGTTTTTAAACAGCTGCACTGAGAATAATCTGTTATCCTTTGCTTTGTTTCTCCAGGATGTTTTTCTGGTGCCTCTTTGTTGCCATGGTTTGCCGTCATTTGCAAACTCTCCTTTTATGGAGACACGTCATGGTGAGGATCTCTGCTCTAAAATTGTGTTTTCTGTCATTCCAACATTGACCCAGGAGCAGATTTAGGAAACCTGGGGCCCTAGGCAAAGACAGGCAGGGGGCCCTCTGAATTGAGGAGACAACACATAGAACAGACCCATTCTACAGATAGAGAAATGTTAATAGAATTGACATCCATCATCTGTTCTAGG